GGAAGCGTAATCCTATTTATATAGTGCTCATCCGTGTGTACTGTAGCGAATATTTTAGGCCCAACATATCAATAGTTTATTGTTATCAACCAGGAAAACACAATATCTGTAAACACCCCCCGACAAAGAAAGAAAACGAGAGCTCGCCGTTCGCTTTGACCAACGTTGGCTTTGACCAATAGACCGGTCTCACCAACCGTCTGGAGCGTGCGTGACGCAGCCATAGTTGTACTTCACAGGAGGCAGCGGTAGTGCACGAGACGGCCCGTCTCGTGCACTACCGTGGCGTTTTACCTCGTGCGGAAAGACCACAGTTCCCGCAATTCATTGCGACAGAGGAGGCATTGCGAAACTGGCGATGAGGTCGGTCTCCCAAGCCCAAGCCCGGTTCACAAATCTGCGTTTCGAGCGACAGAAACGACAAAAACAACACGAACGACATGACAAAGGGGACGATTATGTTCGTATTACAGAGCGTGACAGATAATGGAATGAGCAGCTTTGTCAAGCAATCATGTGTCACGGTTGTCCCGGTGTCATGTCGTTCGTGTCGTTTCTGTCGTTCCTGTAGCTCGGAATGCAGATGTGTGAACCGGCCTTTACGAGCCTACTCTGATGTTACGCTTGAACGTCACGGAAAATAGGTCTTCTCGCCTTTTCGAAATGTCGCCACGGGTAGAAATACTAGCGGGGTATTAAATGATTTGTTCGGCACACAAGCGTCAGTACAGGTTATGACTCTGTCAACATTGCCTGAATCCTATTCTAATTGTAAAATAAAATATCGAAGGTGTCTCCCCGGCCACAATGTCCGCCCCTATCAAAATCGAACCTGGCGGTGTTTTTAAATACAATATTTAGCATTATTACGCGCATTTAGTTCCCGGAAATTAGCAGCACATTCGGGAACTTGAAGTTGAGTGGTATTTTGTTTTCATAACTCGCGGAAATGATGAGAAACGGTTTTTCCGATCATTTAGTTGCACATTCACAAGAGATATTATAATTTATGTTGCATAATTATCAAACCCGCGGCCTTTCTGTAACCATCTGTTCGAGACAGATTCTTTGTCGCTCAGTTAGCAAGTGTTCATTCAACGCAGTAGCGCACTTCAACGACCCGTTGATCGATCTTGCCGTCTGCTACACCATTGTAAAAATTCATTACGGGCTTGAATCATCGCGATATGAGTCATATGCCTTCCAACGATAAGAAATCTTTTAGAATTGAATTGTAAAAAGTTGGTTATCAGATATATTATTTTTGTTTTACAAGAAATCCTTGCCTCACTCTGAGTACCTATGCATTCGACCATAATAACGCTAAAAAGAAACATGAGTATACAACGGCCGAGGGGAGCACAGCGCCATGCACGAAGCCCGAGAAGCCCGGGCAATTGGCGCCTCGGAGTCGCGTCCAGCCGGCGCGCCGGCAACCCGGCCGTAGCCGTGGCACAGGCGCCGCGACGTTGCGGCCACCGCGCGCCTCCGTCATCGAAGGCACACGGCACACGGCGAATTCTGCGAATCCCAATGAGCCAGTAGATTTATTGGAGTAAGACGACACATGGCAGCGTCTCACAGGCGTCCATTCTAGTTGCCACCTGTCTCTATGCGACGCTCTAATTGGCCCACTGAGTCGTAGCTTCCACAGTTTGCTAAGTGTGCCCATAGGCAACCAGCAATTCAGCTGGGCACTACACGTTGCGCCATCTAGCGACTGAAAAATAAAACAAATTGGGTAGTCCAGGACTGCCCGAATCGCGAGGACTGCGTGCGGGCTAATTTAGAAACCACGTGTGAACGTGGCATTTTGGATCGACGTGAGCCTTTTTGGAACTATTTTTTCATAAAATTAAGTCTCAACTTCACGTCTCTATGACCTTTCCGGGTTCCTGTAACATCTCCCCTATGCCTAGAGTTTCCCCCAAAAATAAACGCCGCTACTGCTGCGTGAAAGACTGCCACAGTCGCGCAGGTGACCCAAGCGTCAGGCTTTACCGCTTCCCTTTGAGATCTTAGGAAGCGACACGGCGGCAAAGTGGATTACTGGAGTGCGGTGCATCAAGTAAGTGAATTTTACATTAATTGTTGACGTGAACGAAAATAGATGTGCAGGCTTGGAAAGTGGTCTGACAGACTCCTTTTGCAAAATAACGTATTTTTACAAGTTGTTTTACGAGTCTCTGAGACAGCCATTTAGAGAAATACAGTAGGAAAAATCGGGCCGATTGTTGCTTCGCTTTGACGTCGAGAATCAGGCGATCAGGTCTTCAAGCGAGATGCCCTTAGACCTGTTCCGGCACTCGTAGTTGTAGGCGTGCATTTGGTTGCGACCGCGCGCGCCGTTCGGCACGCGCGGTCGCAACCAAAACCTTTTAAGCATGGAAGTTTTCAAATAGTGGATTTTCGTAGAACAAAGATTTGTTTGTTTCGGCTACCAAATTTAATGCTGAGTCTGGTAACAAATGTGACGGCGTGCAGAAAACAGGATGCAATTTTTTTTTCTAGAAAAAGCTCATGCGAAGCGTAAATATCCTTCTCACACGCACACCTTTTTGACTGTCGCCTTTTTACACCAGACTGATGCACTGTTCTCTAGCACGGAGAGTTTGGTTCTAATTACCCACATTTTATTCTAGTGTCGTGGGGCCGTCGGGAAAAGAAGAGGACGGTCGAGCGAGGCGCGAGGAGGGGCCAGCCGGCGAGGAAAGAGGAAGAGCGTGCTGCACGAGGCTGGGGCCGGGCAGGAACAATAGAGCCGCTCTGGCTGGTCCGGCCCATGTCGGTTCCCGGAGCATTCCACCAGCCAGCTTCGGATCAGGACCGGCGGCAACGGCGAGCCTGGCCTTATCGTCCTAGGCCATGACGGTCCAGGAGTGGTTCCGCAGCGAAACTCTGGCTGTGATAGCCCGGAACAGCTAGCGTACGCAGTGCGCGGGAAGGACGATCCGCAGGCGTGGACACGGACTCCGACTGCTAGCTATGAACGACGGGCGACAACTATAGGGTCGGCGGGTCCGGACTGCCGGCTCTCGAAGACGGGCAACCGGGAAGTACAGTAAACCCATTCGCTGCGTTCTCGTTGTGTTGTGTCACTTCCTGTGAGACGAGCGAATCACAGACCGATCGGGCGGCGATTATTATAGAGCGATCCCGCAAGCGCACGCAAACATCTCAAACGGGTGTCCAAATGACTATTCCAGATTATGCTCTAAACAATTCGACCTATCAAGGCTCCCGATGGTCTTAAAACACCGCATAAAATAAACAGGGACATAGCGCGCACGTGCACACGGGGACTGCTGAAATCGGGGTCGCCGCCGCTCGCCACGGCCCAACGGGCAGACTGGCCCCTGGCCGACCCATTAAGAGAGACACCTCCGCTTGTGGCGCTGAATGCAGCACTCTCGTGGCGCCGCCTGGCCATTGCCGGCTGGCTGTCATGCACTTGCGCCATCTGGCCCCAAACGACACTTAAAAGCATGATATCGCGCAATGTGAAAGACCTCACTGGAAGCTTCGATCGATAATGACACCGCCTTTGTTGCACTTCCTGAGTGATGACTCATTTGCGAAAGGTGCGTTGAGGTGCGCGGAAAAATAAAATTCCGAGTGCTGATGAGGACCATGCGAGTCATTTAATTTTATTGCAGCCGTGCGAACGTTATAGTTGACGCAACCATAAAATTCTCTGCCCACTGACACCAACTTGACAACAGGAACCGAAATCCACACGAACCTTTCCATGCCACAGAGAGAGGAGCGCTAACCGTTTGGAGCGCTTCCCCAACTCCGACGTTACCGCGCCGCCTCGAGGCGCCATCAGTCCGTTGGCGTCTCGCAGTCTGCCGTGAAGCGAAGAGCGAACGCCGAGGAGAGACGAAAGCGACCCCCCCCCCCCCCCCTCCCCCTTCCTCATACCCCTTCTGCCCTCTACAGCTGGTTGAGACATTGCGGAGGGCGCTGGCAAGGAGGAGCCTGCAAGAACAAGCACCCCCCGCACCCCCCCCCCCCCCCCCCCCCCCTCCTCCGCCCTCCACAGGAACCGGCGTGTTCACATGGCGAAGGAGCAGGCGAGCGACACTCAAACCAACCCTGAAGGCCTGAACCCCACGCAGTAGTTGCGAGGCGAGAGTCTCCTCGCCCACTAAGACGGCCCGGGAGCTCACGTGACCGACCCAGCTAAGAAAATACCAGCGCTCACCGCGACTCATCATGGCCATGGTCCTCAGGCTCACGTCATCACACAGACTAATGCGATCACCGGACTCAGGTCCACCCTAAGACTCACGTCTTGATTCAGGCTCATGCTCATGAGCCTCGAAACTCACAATCACACTCAAGAGACCTCAAAACTCACACTCATGAGTACTTCACTTAGCGCTCAAGCTCACACTCCCACTCAAGATTTTTAAGAACTCACAATCACACTCACGATCAAACTCACGCTTATGAGTTCGCAGGGCTCACACACGCACTCACACTCATTAGTTCTCAGAACTCGCGATCACACTCACGATCAGACTCACGCTCATCAGTTCTCAGGACTCACACTCACACTCACACTCATGAGTTCACGTAACTTACGATCACACTCACGCTCACGCTCACAATTTTTCGAGACTCGCGGCCTCACTCACGATCATTTCAAATCTGACGGTGAGCGTGAGGATCGTGAGTGATCGCACTCATGAGTGAGAATGCCGAGGTATGCCTGTGACGTGGTTTGGGGCCGGGTGGCGTGCTTTGGGTACCGCGGATGTGTTACAATCAAAAGGCGAGCTTTCGAGAAAAAAAGGAGGTACGATATAGTCCGCTATGCTTTCAAATTTTCGTACCGAAAAGCAGGCGTTTGACTTTCTCCTTCATTTTCGCCCACTAACGTATGCTCTTATGGAAATCCCAATTTAACTTCATTTATCCCATCCCAAAATTGCCGGAAGCGGCTGTGGTTGTCGTGTTTAAGGCTTCAGTTTTAACCGCGCTAACCACTGCAGGTGCAACGAGCCTCCGGAACTGTCCGGCCTTCCGGTGATCCAGCTAACCCAGGCAGACCTGCGCTGCATCCAACTGAGTCCAGCGAGGGGCGGAAGCCCCGAAGACGAGCACCACCACGGCCACATGTCCCTGCGGCTGCTCGTGGTCACCGCGGGACTGGTCATCCTTCTTATGGTGCTGGGGGTCGTGCTCGTTGGCTTCCGGCGGAGGGACATCCGCGACTGGATCCAGAACAGGAAGCGCGTCGGCGCTGTCTACTACGTCAAGGCCCAGACGGAGCCCGGCTCCAGACGCGTCCAGGTGTGAGGCCGACGCTTAACGCGTCGGGGACACTCAGTCTCGCAATCCTGGACCATCGAGGTCTTCGCCTCGGCGACGACAAAGCGCCCGTATGGTGCAAGCCGGACCGTCACGTCGCGGGTCTAGACAGAAAAAAGGGGAGTTTTGGGGAACGTCCATACGGATGTGACCTTAACGAGGGCTGTAAGATATTGACCGAGGAGAGATGATTGAAAGTCGATAAAGAGACAGGATATGGCGACTTTTTTTTGTGCCCTTCGGGTTGCGTGAGTGGCGATCAACACCTTATGCTCCCCATGCAGTCTTGTTCAAAACGCTGAATTGCCTTAAATTCCTTCTTCGTCCCACTGTTGGCAATCAAGTAAATTGAAAGCAATCTTACGCCCCCCTCATTTTCTTTGAACAATGTGGCACCACAGTGAACAATTCTTGAATCAATGGTGAGGATACAGTTCGCCCTCGAAACAGGGGAGTTGTATTTTTGCTCTTCGTTAATCTGGTGTTTTTGTAGTCAATACATTTGCGCTTGCAATCGTGAGGACATTGGAAAATCGCTTATATTTCTATTGTTTTCTACTTTTTGTTGTCACGATGTTCTATGATAACTAAGAGTTTATCGTGTTGCAGATTTTATAACAGATCGCTTGAAATCAGTTCATCGATGTTCTCTGTTGAGTTTCGATTCGGCTCAAGCAATACTCGGCGCGACGCTCGCCAAGTCTATTGCTACCAATCGATCAAAGTGTATTTACTCTGTGGCAACCCAAGGAAAGCCTGCTAAAACTAATATTAATCGTAACTTAGCCAACGTAAGTCTGGATAGATGAGTGTCGCCCTTTAAACTGTTTTTTTTTTTTTTTTTGAGAGGAGTATATTTTAGTTTCCTTACTTGGGACATCTACCTCATTAAACACCTGGTCACTGTATATTCTACTGTGATTATAAAGTTGATTTTATGTCACGATGACCAACGGCATGCCATGCAGTTCCCTCCTGAATCATCGACACCGTACCCGTTATACGCTCCTTGGATGTTATCCGAAGAAGCTGTTTTTCTTTGACGGAATCTGCCAAATAGTCAATCCTAAGTTATTACGCCTCCTCACACTTCATCCCAACTTTATATTTTATGAGTGAGATGTTCTGTTTCTGCATTAGAGCCTGTCAGACACTCGACAGACAGCTGGTCAGCAAAATCGAGAATCTGTAAGGCACTCAATTTCGATGACAAGCAAACTATTGCAGGATCCAAAATCTAGTCCAACGGACTGCTCCAGTGGCGTCAGAAGTATTTGGGAGATAGAGAGGTGGCGGTTAATGGGGATGAAAATGTCGGAAGAGGTGCAAGACGATTGCTCCTCCCGAGAGTGATCGGAAAATGAATCTGTCCAGCGAGGGTATACCGCGTTAAAGAGCGCGCTACACAACGAAAGTTTTACATCGCGTGGTGGACAAAGCACGAACCTCCCTAGTGGGGGTGCGGGAACATGTAAACACGTGGTTGGAGAGAGAAATGGCATTGAACTTTCATTACGAAATAACTAAACGGATAATAAAATATGATAAAGATCCTCTTTTTCTATTTTTCCCACAGAAACTGATAAAGAAAGGTGTGCCTTTGGAATGTCATAGCTTCAGTGCGCATAAATGCGCATGGGCGACCACACCTCACGCGATACCGCTGGTCCAATTGACCACGGCTGGCTCACACATGCGGCAGATATGACGATTGATGACACTTCCAATGTTCAGATGTTCCTTTTTCTCCAACTGCGTCGTGTTAGAAGCACCGCAAAACGATTTTTTTACTTAAAAAAAAAATACTGTTAGGTAGGAATCGGGGATATTCGTAGTGTACAGAATTAACATTAGTTTAACTCGTCACGCAACCACCGGCGACAGTGTCAAACGCGACCGTGCACCACCAAGCGATGCTCGGATGCCATTACAACCAAGGTGGCGCCTATGCGGGTTTATGAACGTGAATCGCGAGTAAGCAGAGCCCTCGCGCCGACACGTAGAGGCTGCACCTGCTTCGGCCTGCCGGGCTGATCGATTGCGGCCTTCTCTGATGACGGTCCTGTTTGTGTTGCAGCTACCGACCGAACACCCTCCTTCTCCTCCTCCCTCTCCTTCTTTGTGCCGCCCACACATCGTGATCGTCTACAAACTCTCACCGGCAGCGTCCTAACTGTCGAGGAACGAACACGTTTTGCCTCACCACGTGGAGGCACGCGTGCAACCGGTAACATCCCGTCTTCCAATCTCCTTGCATCTTTTTTTTTTTCGATTAGACTTTGAGAAGTGAGGATGACTAAGTACTATGCGGTAAGGGTAGGGTGCCTGGAACGCGTTCCGACTGGTGCGTTTTTATCGCGTCCTAAAAGAAGTGGTCCCTCGACTTCCGCCTGATGACGTCGCCAAAGTGTCATGATGTCGTCGGCCGCGATCCTGGCGGTGTTCCAACAGCGGTGGTGGATGTGACAGACGCCTATTCTGTTGCATGTTGCTCTCTAGCTTGAGAGTCGACGGAAGCTTCGGCACTCAGGAGTTGGGACGCCGTGACGAGGGCGACACTGGCGTTCGCTCGTGCTTTTTGCCGGGACTTCTGTCACCAACCGCCAGGATCGCGACATCCGACAGCGTGACACTCCGGCTTCTGTGACGTCATTTGTTGCCACTTTGGAGTCACTTTTGATGTCTGGGTGGGATAGGACGATAAACACAGCACTTGAAGTGCGTTCCAGACACCGCACTAAGGGGAAGAAGTTTTTTTTGTGGTCATAGTAGTGCACTTTTCCGAAGGTCGATGGACGATCTCGTACAGAAATATTTAATTCAGATACGCACTGGTGTTGTTAGAGCATGAGTCGAATGAGCTCAGTGTCTCACGTGGCTATAAAAATTCTTCAGTGTGAACCAGTTCTCATCCTGTGTCACGTAGGTGACGATAAAACGACGGTATGAAAAACATACTGAAACCGGCAGCTTATCAAAAAAGAAAAGACATAAAGAGGTGGGAATGTGGTGTGTGGACCTGGCCGACTATGTAATGTTTGGTTTTCTTTGACGGAAAGTTGAAATGCTTTGGATCAAAATTTTCATTCTCTGTATTATCCACTGAAATAAAGATGAATATAGGAAACGACTAGGTGGTGCTGTGGTTTGATAAATGGTGACCAGTTTCTCTAGCAACGATAATGTGGAAGCACTGAAAAAGGCAGAAGGAACTTCCAAACATCAAGTAGCTAACGGACGTACTCTTTCGATCCTCACTTTGTTTTCATCGACGGAGTTTCCGAAAAACAAACTTTGCAAGCCCCTTGTGCCCGGATTTAAATAATGAACTTCGAAAATGAAGCTAATAGCGGTGCATCAATTTCAGTAGCGCTGCAATGTGAATGGTTCATGTCAGAGAAGCGAATCAAAATGAGGATGATTTCAGTCGTTTTACTAGATATAATAAATCAAACCTTTCCCGCAAACATAATTTCGAAAATATTTTTTTTAACGTTTGTTCATCATTCGCTGCTCCGTGTACAATTAATTTATGTCTCAATAAAAGAATCACAATTAAAAAATTATTACCAGGAACCTGTAAAAGTGGCAGCAGCAGCACCGTATGCATGAAACTGACGGGAAACAACCCGAGTTTAAATGAAGAAACACAGGCAAGCTGGTGAACTAACTTCATTATGAGTTAGTGTGTGCGGTTGTCATTTTTTCATTTATTTCCAATTTAGAACTTATCATACGGGTAAAAATTTCGAAGAAAACACGAATAAAAAAGGCGGAAGCTGTTTTAAGGAGGTTCCTATCATATAAACTGTGCAGTGGCTCACGTTTGGATTTACTAAATTATTAGCAAAAATTAAGCGTTATCATAAACTAAAAAAAAAGAAAACAAACAAAAGGACCACGCATATCAAACTGTTTTTTGTTCTCACAAAACGTACGGCGCGGTTTAGATTAGGAGCAAACATTTCCTAATCATAATTACATTCAATGCGAATTTCTATTCCGTACTGTTTTCAGTCAGTAAGCAGATTAATATTTCATTTCATTTCATTTCATTTCATTTATTATACTCTCAGGGCCCGAAGGCATTACAGAGAGGAGTGGAAATATATACATCAATATAAGGTGAACAATAAAAACAAAACGCAAAAAACAAACAAAACACAAGGTACAGAATCGCTATGGAACATTGTTAAGAACATCAGTTATGGCGGTTTTAAAATCAGCAGCGTCAGTAAGTGAGACTACGGATGCGGGAAGGCGGTTCCAGTCGACGGAGGTCAGAGGTAGGAAGGAGGCATAAAAGGTGGAAGTGATGCAGTAGGGGATTCCTACTTTTAGTGGATGATCGGTGCGCGGCGATATGTATGATGGTTCTGAAATTAATGAGGCTCGAAGTGCTGGGTTAGAGTGATAAATTTTGTGAAATAAGCAGAGGCGAGCTATTTTTCTACGAAAGGAGAGATTGGGCAAATGTAGAGACGCTTTCATGGAGGTGACGCTGGCTGTACGGTGATAGTTAGAAAGTATAAAACGTGCGGAGCGATTTTGAATGGATTCAATGGATGATGCTAGGGATACGCCAGAGTTCCAGATAGAGCCTGCATACTCAAGTTTGGTGCGCACTAAAGTTTTATATAGGAGAAGTTTAAGTGAAACAGGGGCAAGGGAAAAGTTTTTTTTGAGATAGCCTAATAAGCGATTAGCGTTGTTAGTGATATAGTCGACATGGATGTTCCAGGAGAGATCGTTGGTTATATGAACACCGAGATATTTATAGGTAGACACAGAAAGCAAGGTGGAGTTATTAATACAGTAGGAGGGACAAGTGTTATTTTGACGGGACACTCTCATAGATTTACATTTAAAGGTGTTAAGTTCCATAAGCCAATTATCGCACCAGCGGGTGACGTTGTTAATATCGGTCTGAAGAGCAGATATGTCAGAGTCGTTAATGATTTCCTTATAAATTACACAGTCATCAGCGAATAGGCTAATAGAAGAAGATACATGCGTGGGAAGATCGTTAATATATATAAGAAATAGAAGTGGACCTAATACGGAACCTTGTGGGACACCGGACTTGACAGGTGAAGTTGAAGAATTAGTTCCGTTAGCGTGAACAAATTGGTAACGGTCTGATAGAAACGATTCTATCCAAGCGATTATATTTAGATCTATGTTAAGTTTACGGAGTTTATAAAGAAGCAGCGCGTGAGGAACCTTGTCGAAAGCTTTTGAGAAATCAAGAAATATGCAGTCAGTCCTGGAACCCCGGTCAAGTGTTACGTGAAGGTCATGAGTAAAGGTTAGGAGTTGAGTTTCGCATGAATAAAACCTTCGAAATCCATGTTGCGCTGAGTTAAAAAACGAATTTGAATCTAGAAAATTGAAAATGTTAGTGTAAATGATGTGCTCAAGGATTTTACAAGGAATGCTCGTTAAAGAAATAGGACGAAAGTTTAAAGGGTTATGCTTATCGCCACCTTTGTGGAGAGGGATCACCTTCCCCACCTTCCAATCTTTTGGCAATTCTCCTTGTTCGAGTGATTGCGAAAATAATTTAGATAAGATAACGCATGAGTACGTATTAGTGTTTTTCAAAAACTTAGCATTAATATTATCAATGCCTGCGGTCGTATTGGTTTTAAGGTTTTCAATAATATTAGATACACCTTCACAGTTTACAATAACAGGAAACATGGGCAAAAAATCATAAGTTCTAAATACAGGACAATCTGAGGTTACCGTGCATGAAAAAGATCCAACAAACACATCATTTAACAAAAAAGAACACACTTCACTTGGCACCTCCTCTCCATGGGTGTCCCTAAGCACTATGCCAGTACTAGAAGGAGGGTTAATAACTTTCCAGAATTGACGCGGATTGTTAAGCAACATTGACGGCAGCGTATTGTTAAAGTAATGTAATTTTGCCTCTTCGACTGCTTTCTTATATACGTTAGCTGCAACATGGTAGGCCTCCCAGCGTTGTACATGGTCCGATAGCTTTGCAGTGCGAAATAATCGTTTCTTTTTATTTGACAGCTTTTTTAATGTCACGCTGTACCATGGAGATTCTGGTGAAGAAGATACCACGCGAAGGGGAACATGGGCGTTCATGAGTGACATAACTTTCTCTTTAAATAAACACCAGTTATCATCAACTGAGCGCTCAGCAAAACAACCCATGTAGTCCTCTAGAAAATGGCAAAGTTCGTTGTTGATTGAATTAAAATCAGCCCTAGCATAGTCCAAAAATGTTTTCGTCTGATTGGACTTACTGCGTCCAGGAATGTTTAAAAAAAAGTGTAGTAGGGAATGATCACTGAGACCAGGCATGTAAGTTAACGAGGAGATCAGCTCAGGCGATGTTGTTAATATGAGATCAAGCACAGCAGAAGTTGTTGTAGTCGTACGCGTCGGTTTTGTAACAGTTTGAGAGAAATTGAAATCTAAACAAAGATTCAAAAACTCACTACATTCAGAAGAGAAGTGACTAAGGTTTGCACCCTCGTCTGACCATATTATAGAGGGGTAGTTGAAATCACCCAACAGTAGTATCGGTGCATTCGGGAAACGAACAATGACTGAGTTGATCGCATCGTGCAGATTCGTTATAAACGCAGTATTGCTAGAAGGAGGGCGATAACACACGCCTAAAATGTATTTTTTATTTTTTAACTCGAGACCAACCCATAGCAGCTCGAGTTCAGAAACAATATTGATAGAAAACGATGGTACATTTTCTGCTACCGCGACCAACACCCCGCCACCCTTCCTTTCTTCCCTGTCGTGACGATAGAAGTTGAAACGTCTCTGACAGTGCAAAATTTCACAGTTGCGTATCTTACTGGACAACCATGTCTCGCTTAACACGACAACATCCGCGTTAGAAGAGTCCACAACTGATGACAGATCGTCCCGTTTATTCATAATGCTTCTAATGTTCGTAAAAAGAACAGAAATATTATTATTAGGCAAAGTATTGGTAGTAGCAGCCTTACCCCTCCTTGAACGTTATGACGAAGCTGAAGCTTGATTAGGATTTACGATGTCACGCTCTGGCTGAGCGGAAGCACGGTTAGTAATTTCGGCGTTACGTCTAGGTAAATTCTGTTCTGGCCCGTGGGAGTTCACTTCACTGACACAGTCTGTTTGAGGTACATAGATATAGCACTTATTTCCAATCAGCAGTTTGTCGAAGCGCATCTTGAAAGGTATATCTTGTGGTCTTGCAAATTCTAATAGCTTTCGCCGCGCAAGTCGCACTGATGGTATGAAATCCTCACTCACGGAAAATGATGTTCCTTTGAATTTGTAGGCCTTAGAAAGTACGGCCTCTTTATCTTTGTATGAAAACATTTTTACAATTATTGGGCGACACTTTTGCTGAGAAAACATACCGAGACGATGCGCCCTTTCGATACACGACGGTGCAAGAACAACTCCTAACTTGTCGAGGCACTCGTCTACAACAGTCTTTTCCGACTGCGCCCATGTTTCCTTATCCTTATCGGGGAAGCCAAAAAAAAGAAGATTTGATCTGCGCGCTCTGCTCTCCGCGTCATCGCAGCGTACCCTGAGCTCCGATATCTCGTTAGCAGCCGCGGCTATCTGTGGGGAAGGGCCCACGTCGCTGTTAACGCTGACTGATTTTACCGTAGAAATATCACTCTCTAACTGGTCGACGCGTGCAGCGAGATTACTCAGCGATTTCTCGGTGGAATGTTGCTTAGCCTTTAGGTTTTTTACTTCCTGGAGGATGTCGGTTTGCCCGGTCTGAAGCGTCACAACTATTTCATAAACTTTGTTGAGTAACTCCTCTTGCGCTTTGGTCATGGGTCCAGGGTTGGTTTCAATATCCCCACCAAGTAGTAGAAACAACCCAAATCCCTCACTTTGGACATATGCATCAACAACGCTAAACAGCTCTAGAAATTCAAGATACAACGTAAAGCATGCCTTGGGGCCTGGCAGCACAAACAAACACAAAAAGTTGCTTTTGAATTCAAAGTATTTGAATTTACTAACCTGCAACGAAACGACAAAAAACTTAGGCATCCTGATCCGACACTTGCTGTCAGGCCCACTGGCGAAGTTGAAGGATGCTGCCGCTTTTCTACCCTG